TTGTTTGTGAGAGCAATCAGGGCTTTGCAGACTGGGGACAGGCCCCCTAGAGGGTGAGTAAGAAGCACCATGGGAGACAAATAATTTTGCACATAATATTGTGAACAGACTTATAAGCAAGTCAGGACTCAGGTTTCCAAAGACTGTGGGTTATGATCCACCATGGCAATTATCAAAAAGCAAGAGTAAGGCTGTGCACTTTTCCTGATTGCTGTAAACATAGTTACTTCAATACGGCACTGTGGCTCATGCAGAGTACTTCTATAAAAGTAAAAGGTAGGAATAGCTTAAGGGATAGAACAAACAGCAGACAGGTGGGAAAGGAACAGTACAAGAGGAGCATGTTTAAGTGCAAAGAACACACTGAGGGTTTTAGGTTAGAATGAAGAGAGCTTTGGAAGGGAAGGGCCATCTCATGCAGTCTGATAATACTACATGAAGGCACAATCCTACACATGTTTAGACAGAAAACAGTACTACAGCTCCCAGCATTCCCCAGTCAGCAATGGTATTTTCTATCTGAATATGCATAGCATTGTGCCCTTGCAGTAGTACATTTAAAAAGGTATCTTCAACTTGGGCATGAATCCCTTCTACATCATAGTAGGAAGAAAAACTTTACACAGCTTTTAAAAAGGAACTTGATTGTATCCCAACCTTTTTTTGTGCAGATATGAACAATTATGGGTTCTAACATAAGATGATTTCAGATATTATCTCCTTAAAACTCCTTAAGATTTGGCATCATGAATACTTGCACTGAAAAATGTTAACTGACAATCTCTAGGCAAGAAGGTGGAAATCACCCTGCTTAATACACACTTATCTTTAAATTAACAAAAACCACAAGAATACAATAGAAATAAATTCATGTCCATTTGTTGCCAACTGAGAAGTATCCATGCATGGATCACTGAAGTTACAAAAATAAAAATCAGGAACACAATTGTCTGAAAAAAAAAAAGTACAGACAAAACTACATACACAAACACAAACCCTATCTACCTTCTGATCTGAACTTCAAAGTCAAGCAAAAGTGCATATGGAAGAGATATTAATTTCAGTTAAACTTTTGTAAAGAATATATTAAACAGAACATCAACATTAAACATAGGAAATGTGAACTGAAAGATTTTTCTTGTCAGTCTCAAATCTCAGGTGTTGGTCACAGCACTCTTCAAATTTGACAAGGAATGCTCACCATTCACTTTAGAAGTGAACAAAAGAAGAGATCTAAGGCTGCTTTGAACATGCGCTGGTGGTGCCTAGATTCTATGAAATCTTACAATATAGTTAGTCTTGAAGTGTGCACATGACTGGGGAGAAACACTTATTAATGAAGCATTACTTTCACCTCTGTTGAGCCCTCTTCTGTTCCATGATACACTTAACTTTGAATTTGCTGTAAAATGCTCTTAACTGATATTTTTCTTTGTTTCATACATCTGATGAATTGCAGATGGACATAAAAATCTGTCCCTAATTCTCTCCTTCTGCTATAGTCCCTGCAGTAACAAAGGGACTATAGAAGAGAAAAGGGTGGGGGGGATACAAGAACAGGGCAATTAGGTTCATAAAGAGAAAGTGTGCCTAAATTTGCATAACAATACACTAACTCACACAGCAAAAGCTGCCCCACCTCCTAACATGTAGCTGTTATAGTACTAAAGGAATGGAAGACTGGCTTACATTCATTGTCTAGACCTTAGGAGTTAGTGGCTGGCCACACAAAAGCACGAAGGCCAGAGAACAATGCTGCAAATGTCAAATACCATGTTAAGTACATAGCCCCCCGTGCTGTGTTTTCCCCCACACACACACACAGTTGAAACACAATACTTAAGTTATCTCACCGAGAAATTCAAGGATCCATGGCTACAATTTTATGCAAATTAGTTAAATCTAAAGTCTGCAAAACTTCCCAACTTTCAATTTTTGATTTTTATTTAAATTAAACTGTGCAGAACTACAATGACATAATCACATTTAAGATGCAAGCACAGAAAGCGGTTACTATGTCTCATTGCCTTAAAAGCACCGTACCAAGAGTAGTTAATCAACCACTCTTGTCTGTTGTAAATTGCTGGTAATATGATGTAGATGAAACACTTCAGAACCCAACGCTCTCATAATTGTGCCTGAAACAAATGGAGGACTCAGAGACTCTTTCATAAGGCTTTGTACAATATACACTGGCAGAAACGCGGAGGCAACAAGAACATGTGTTTCCTAACTTGGGATTTAAAACCTATTTTTTCAGAAATGAAACATTCCCCCAAATTCCCCACACGGTACACATAACCATACTTGATCATGATACCACGCGCATTTCGCCGCTCTAATTCGCAAACGGTTGATTTTAAAACGCAAGAAAGACTCTTCCAGGAGTTTTGCAGACTACATAGGCCTCAACTTTCTGTTTGCAACACATCCTGCCGCTTCGACCCGTACACGCCCGAGAGGAAAGAAACGAGCAGCAATGCATACATTTGGCAGAGCTATTTTTAAAAGTTTTCGACTTTCTTCCTCCCCCCCTCAAAAAAAAAAATCGTTGGAAAACACCCAACTCCGCTTCGCTAGTATTTCCTTCCCCCGGTTCCTCCTCTCTGTTCCCAAAGTAACGACTGCGGAGAGAAAGAGCGAGACATTTACCTTTCAGAAGTGATGCCGGAAAAGGAGATTTAGGCAGGCACACGGAGGGTTCGGTGCCAGATGCGCGGACGGAGAGCTCGCATGGCAAAACTAGGCCTATCTTCTCTCCGTCATCGTGTCATGCTGATCAAACATGTCTGTGTATGAGGGTGAGAGTCCTATTCGACTGCTGCGACTTCCTGATTCTCTGCACTGCCGAGCATGCACGGGAGGGGGAATCCACCCCAACCAGCGCGAAACCTCGCCTCTTCCTCTCTCCAAGCAGCAGCAAGCTCAGGCAGAGAGGCTGGCTCCAGCTGTCCTCCTACTCCTCCGGTCTCACTCAAGCGACCAGGAGCAAACTGCAGCATTCGCCTCGAATTCCTCTCCTCCTCTCCGCACTTAATCATCAAGCAAAAAAACTTTTCCCCCCTCCCCTTTCCCGGCGGAGCAACAACAACAAAAAATAATCATGGCGAGCGATGAGACTCCCGGCTCCAATCTGGGGGGCACGACCCAGCCCCAGATGTTTGTTTTGCGTTATGCGCGTTCGCGCACAACGCCTTTCAAAATAAATAAGTGCTCGACGACGGTTTCCCAGTCCTTCGCCGGAAACAGAGCGTGTTGATAATCAAAGGAAAAGACCGCGGCGTGAATTTCTGCTGCAAAGGAGGGGGGCTGCTTTCGTCGGGGAGGGGCGGGAGGGTCTGGTTAAGCCAGGCTATTTTGGGACACGCATCGCGACACCTTCCCAGCAGAACAGCACGCCGTCTGTGCACTTGAAACCAACAGAGCCACCCATCTAGCTATATACGTGTGTATGTGTTTGGAGAGGCCAAAGTGGAATCGAACGAGGACAGCGATCGCTGGCTAATCAAGTCCCGGCTTCCCCAGTCCTCCCCCACCACCGCCGGCGCCCTCCCCTCGGGTGTATGGTGCTTGTGACAGACAGGAAGATTATCCGGATCATGGCCTGCTTGGCATGGCTGGTTAATGCAGCTTCTTTAACGAGCCAACCCCCCTTCCGTCTTGCTTCACCCTTCCGCGGCCGCAGCTCAAAACTCCGCGACTGAACTGGAGCAGCGGCAGGCGGCGGGGGGAAGGGAGATCCCATGCAGCAACAACCCCCTGCCCCTTCCAAACGTTCCCGTGCTTCCGTGCTCTCCTTTTTCAAGGCAGGACGCTACACGAACTTCCAGCGCACCGAGCAGCGCCGGCTACAGGCAGATCCATCTTCCCCGAGCAGAACCTCCCTGTAGTTGCCCACATTCGGGATTATCTCCCTCCCAATACCATCCTTATTTATAGCCGCCAAAATACAGCTCAGTCAATCAAAGCACAGGGAAAAAAAGACATACCCAACCTACCGGCCCCATCGTAGCAGACAAGCTTCTACTGGCGTGCTTGTAGCTTCTTGCAATCTATTTCTGGCTCTCCCGCTCTCGTTGTCTCGCTCTCTTTTTCTTGCCTGGTTGCCCAGAGTCTCCCCCTACACACACACACACACACACTTTCTTTTCTTGCTTTTTTTTTAAGCTCCATTTAGGAGCAAAACACCCGGAGCTGCTGATTATTTACTGCTGCCTGGCTTCTACCCATCGCCTGCGTTTCCACAGCCCTCTCTTGCAACGTGCAGTCTCTCGACCTTCTGTCTAGGTTCAGCTGACTCACAAAGTCAGCGGTTCTGCTATGCTCCCCTGTTATGAAATGTCACGATCCAGCAGCTGTCTTTGATATATGAAAATGAACGATGGTCGCGATCTGAAACTTTCTTCTGATTTTTGGAGGCCTGGGAAGAAAGACGGCATGAATATTGAAGGCAGGGGTTACTAGTGGAGACTTGGGTGTGGGCAGGTGGCGGGGGGATAGGAGTGCCTGCCTGGGGTATTTTATTTTCTTTAGGGAAAGAGAGAGAAGCACCGTCAAAGGCTAACTAATTTATCCTCGCGCGCCCCCCACCCATCCCCAATTCCCAAACAAGCGGTGAAGGCGAAGCCAGAGAAAAGCAAAAGATGGATGATTAGGAGAGAGGTGGGAGGAAGGAGTTGTAAGCAATATTTACCTTGCTCAGGAAGAGTGGTGTGCTAGATCTCTCCTCTCTATGAGTCATCCGGAGTACAGATCCAGCGAGAGGAACTAGATTATGAATATGACTTCATTGATGACAGCCATCCCTCCTCTTCCTAAACTCCTGCCCCGCCTCCTGGCTCGTCCCACTTGCTCCGCCGCCGCCGCCGCCGCCGCCTCCCCCTCCTCCTCCCTTACGGCCAAAAGCCATCGTGTTGCAAAGGAGAGCCTTCGACTGGCTGAGCTGAGCCAGATGGCCCGCCCTCGAGGTTCAATGAAAGGGCGGATTCGCTACCCTGAACGGTCATTCAAACTCCAGCCGGGAGAAGGCGGAGCTGCTTCTGGGCTGCTGCTGATCAAACGTGGAGACGGACAGACAGCGCTGCGCGCGCGCGCGCCTTCGCGAGTATGCTTGCTTCGTCCGTCTGCAACGTGTGTACAGAGTAGCTGGCATAGATCTATAGATCCGTGCTGCCTCTTCTTTCAGCAGCTGTTCTGGGATCAGAGGGCAGGGTTTAGAGTGTCGCTCTGGGGCGGTGGGGGGCGGAGATGGAGAAGGGCGATCATAGCAGGAGTTGAGGGGAGGGGTCAGGTGAAGAAGGTGCTGGAATTTTAACAGTGCCTGCCGGTGCAAGCCTGGAGGCGAGGACGGCTGGGAGGAGCGAGCTGACTTAAGCTGAAGCCTCCTTTTTATATCTGTTGTTTATAGGTTTGCCTAAAGGTAGGGCGGGCGGGCGGGCAGGGTGTTGAACAAGAAAGGTCATTGTTATGTATACGAAAAACTTCTCAGCCCTTTCCCTAAATCTGTGAGGCTGGGACTTCCTTTTGTGGGGGAATGCGGAGAACATTCCAGCTCAATCTGCCTGCTAATCAGTCGCCCTTTCAACTTTCAAGTGCCCATTAATGAAGTCCTGGCACCAGGAGCCGAAGACTGCTGTTTACTAAACAGTCCCTCGGAGAGAAATGTGGAAGCAGCTCAGAAAGCTATCATAGGAATGCAATCTGTATGCTAAAAAGGCTTCCACGGTGTTAGCAGGGAAGTTGAAGGTAAATCTGGTGCTTAGGGCTAGCGAAAGTAAGTGGTGTAATTTCCTACATTTCTTTCTTCATCGCTCTCATCTTTAAAACTCACGATATGCTTTAAAACTGCCTGTGTTAGTGAGCCAGTTTGAAAACTGGGAAGCTCCGTTATCTCCCACCCACACAGACACACACCTCTTGCCATTTAATTGATGCAGACCTGGAGGGGGATGGGAAAGCAATCATTCATGAAAGTCTACAAAACTTACAGTGTTCAGCAGGAAATGTTCTGGTTCTGTATGAAGGATGGTTCTACAAGAGTTTGACAATCAGGCCTATTAGTGCAGGCTAATGTGCTTGCCTGAATCATAAATTCTACCCCTGTCAATCACTTCCAGAGAGACATCCCTTTGGCTAGATATGCCATCCTTCTCTTTTGCTGTGCAGGAAGATTTGGTGTACATAACAGCAAGGGAGGGCACGGGATCATAAGATCTTTTTCTAAGTCCACCAGCAGGGCAATAGGTTGCAGAGGCAAGGAACTATGTAGCTGCCCACTCACATCCCATTTTGAGGATTTCTCTTTTTTTAGGAGCTAGTGCCGTGAGTGGATGTTTTGTGTCAGTGGTGCAAGCTGATTTGAGCCTTGTCATCTGTGCAAAAGGGAAGAAATACTGCTCTACTAGCAGAGTTTTTTTGCTGTCTTATGCAAGGAGAAAATGGACAGGATTAGTGATAAGTGATTCATGAGCCATCCTGGCAGCACTACAGCCTGCACTGGATCAGTATGTCAACAGAGCAGGCACAAGGAGTTTTAGCAGCTGAGGCGGGAAGTCCAAATGCTGCTTTGTGCAATGGCATTTAATCCTCTTCAAGACTGGTGGTTCATATGTTGTTGCGCTGTGACAAAACATAAACATGAGAGGTTTCAGTGAACATGTGAAGACATATGCAGAAGATAATGGAGGGTTTGACTTTATGCAGCAGTAAATCTCCAGTAGGCTGGTCTTAATCTCCACACACTGCTATATTCACCACGTAAAATGTCTCTGCTGCCAGAAGAAGTAACTCCCAAGCCCATTTACCAGGTATAGATTAGAGCAGGGGTGCCCAACCTGCAGCCCCCAAGCTCTTTCTGTGCAGCCCCCCAACCTGCTTATTTACTGCTATCACCCTCAATGCATTTTTCCTCATGTTCTTCCTGCCTCTTCTGGTCTCCTTGGTTTCTTCTGTCAGCCCTCTCTTGGTCTTACCCACCATACTAGCATTTTGGCCATTCTGGGTGCTTTGCTGGCCAGCAGAGCTCAGGTACTCATTACTACGCAGCCTTTTCACTCCTCCTCTTCATGTGTTAGCATGTTGAAGGCAACTTGTGTGTGTAAGGAAGATAAAGCAGCTGCATGGATGGGTGCAGGAGATGCCTGGCCTGCTTTTGCAAAAAAGGCAGAGGAAGGAGAGTAAAAGGCCTGGTCTTTTTGCAGAAAGGAGACAAAGTGTCCTGCATTTCTGATTTCTAGAAGCTCCACCCATCAAAACCCTTCCAGGTGGCTTCCCAGGTTACTGGTGAGGTTGCTGCTTCAGGCAAGAGCATCTGCCCATACTTGCCCTCCTGCCCTCTAAGATCAACGGCAGAGGCCCTTCTCTGGGAACCCTCCATGAAGGAAATTAGGTGGTGAGTACCCGGAGGAGGGCCTTCTCTACGGTGGCGCCCCATCTGTGGAATGTGCTCCCCAGAGAGGTCCACCTGGCGCCGCCATTATTTGCTTTTCGGCACCAGGCCAAGACCTTTTTATTTAAATGTTATTTTAATTGATTGTTAAATTAATTATTCCTTTTATCTAACTCCGCGATGTTTCCAATTCTGTATATTTTTGTATATTGTTATTTATTTGTTGGAAGCCGTCCCGAGGCTTATGCGAATGGGGCGGCATACAAGCACTCCAAATAAATAAATAAATAAATAAATAAATCCTTCCTTCCTTCCTCAGCAAGGGGTGCTTGCTCTGACTTTTTGCCTTGCTCGCTTTTGTCTCTCCTCCCCTACCCACTCCAGCTAGGAGTCTTCTCCTGCATCTGTGATTGTTGGAGCTGGAGAGCAGCCCCTTGGGTTGAAAGGGAAAGAGGATTCCCTTAGCAGGGAAGCGTATGGGGTGCCCCTTCCCACATCTTCCTCCAGCAAAGTTCCCTTCCCCCCGGCTGCCATGTCGCTTCTCATGATTGAGGCTTGGCTGGCAGGCAGGCAGGCAGTGATGTGTCCGTCCTCCCTGCAGATAATTTGGCTCCAACTTTGGCGTAATCTCTGCTCCAGGTGGAAGGCTGCCCTTTCATTAACTCTTTTTCTCTACCTGCCCCTTTTGGAAGGCCCTCATTTTTTAAAGTATTAGCATGTATAGATTTAAACCTCAGGAAAATGTGTTTATTAAAAATTAATCTAGTATTATCCAATGTACTTAGGATTGCAAGGCTGCCATCTGGTAGGTGAGGTTCATAATCCATTTTTTTAAAAATTCTTCCTGGCCTGTGCATATGGCCCCAATTTTCTGAGAACTGTAGAGGCAGGGGTCTCTTCTCTTCTTTTCCATGGTCAAAATGAAAATTCCTCGCTAACAGCAGCCAAAGTTGCATGGATTTTATGAGAAAGGGAAGAGTTAGATGCCTAAAACAATACTTCTCATATTTTTCTTTATGTAAGGATAATATCAAAACTCTGCAACTGCTGCTCTGCTAAACATTCTGTAACATGTCTGCAAAAGAAAGTGGTGTTTCAAAGAAATGAAAAATTGCAAACGAGCACCATGTCTTTAATGACAAATGGATACTGAGTACTTTTTTGTTTTAAACAAGGATAAAGCAGTTTGCCTGATATGTCTTGAAACTATCTCAGTATTAAAGGAATACAATGTTAAAAGGCACGTTGAATCCTGTCACAAGAGCTACGCAATATAGCAAGGAGAGGTGTGACTGAACAAGATAAATTTTCTCCAACAAGTATTGTTTTTTGCAGCAAAATGGTTTTAGAAAGCACACTGAGGAAAACCTGTCAACTGTGAGGTCCAGCTATCATGTTGCTAAATGTATCGCTCAGCGTGGTAAACTATTCAGCAACAGTGAATTTGTTAAGACGTGCATGGTTAAAGTAATGGGGGAAATGTGCCCTGGTATCTTGTGTTAGTTGTGTCAGATTATCTGCATCTAGAATCACCAGGCATGTTGAAGAACTAGAAGAGCTGCATATGTCACTGATTGTCAAGGCACAACATTTTGATTTTTTTTTCCCCTTTGGCATTAGATGAGAGGAATGACATTATAGACGCTGCTAATATTTATTTATTTATTTTACTTACAGCATTTCTACCCCGTTCCTAACAGCATCTCAGGATGGCTTACAAATCAGGGGGATAGAGTCCAACTTCAGATTTACAGAATAATTGGGTGCACTGCAGGGTTTGAAAGGCACCACAACTGCAGAGAACATTCTTGAAGGTGTGTGAATCAGTGGAAAATCTTGTTCTGAGTTGGAATAAATTGAAAAGCATCACAACGGATAGTACAAGAAATATGGTGGGAAGTAAAACTGGATCATCCATCAGCAAGCCTTGTGTAGTAAGATTCTTCAGTGGGAAAGTATGATGGATATTGTTGTTTCCAACATTAATTACATCAGGCATCATGGCCTTTCTCATTGTCATTTTCAAAATTTTCTCTGAGAGATAGATGCAGATTATGGAGAAGTATTGTACCATGCAGAAGTCAGGTGGCTTAGCAGAGGCAAAGTCCTCAAACCTTTTTTCAGTCTTCATCGTGAAGTTGATGTCTTTCTCAAGGAGAAAGGGAAAGGTCAAAAAGTACGTTCTGACCCTGGATGGATTTTTGATTTGGCTTTCTGAACTGATACCATAAAGCATCCGAACACACTGAATCTAAGGTTGCAGGGAAAGGGAAAGCTTGTGTGTGACATGTGTTCTGAATTGAAATATTTTGAAGCAAAACTGAACATTTTTGTGAAGCAAGTTAGTGAAAATAACTTTTCAAACTTCTCATGCTGCAATGATCAGAAATTTACAATTCAATGTTGAAAGATTCATCAAGGCACTGAACCTATTGCAGGTGGAATTCCAGAACAGATTCACTGATTGCCATAAGCATGGAAAGGAAACAAGAATGTTTCAGAATCCATTTGAAGTAGCACCGGAAGATTCTGCAAGTAATTTTTTTTTGCAGATGGAATGAATTGATTCGCAAACCAGTGATCATCACAGAAACATTTAGAAAGAAAATAGTCTGTTATATTTCTATTGTAGTCTACCTGATATATATTTATCAACCTAAAGACATCTGCTGCAGGCATCTTCAGTCTTTGGCACCACATACATCTGTGAACAAACCATTTTGAAGATGAAAATTGTGAAATCTAAGTGTCGGTCAAGACTTACAGATGAACATTTTAAGGGTGTCTGTCACAAATCTTGACTTGGACATTAATGCCTCAGCTAACAGAAAACAACCACCAAAATCACACCAATAAGGTAAGCATGTGTTGCTAAATAAAATGATTCCACAGTAAAATATTGTTTCAGAATGGATTGCATTCAAGTTAGCATTTTTCATTAATCAATTAAATTGATTTATGTTGGTAGGTTAATAATTTTGTTACATTTTGATTTAAGATGTGGCCCTCCTTAGGCATTGGGCATTCTAATGCAGCTCCCATGTCCCAGAAGGTTGGAGACCACTAGTTTAGAGTTAGACAATGACTGTAGTCCTTTCTTAGGTGCAAACTAAATGCATGATTTGGTCAGCTATTCAAATAAGGTGAGGCAGTATTTTCATTTACTAGAATTTCTATAAGAATTGGGAAGTCTAAGGATTCAAAAAGATCCTGCAGGGGACTGCATATGCACATCTCTACAATGTGAAGATGTACCAAAATACCAAGCTGTCTTACTAGGTAAGATTTACTGGGGTAATGTCTGTGAACTGATTTGATCATTCCAAATACCATTTAAATGTTAAGGATTTTGAGCTGCATCAAACTGAATGTTAATACATCACCTGGCCTAGATGGCATCCATCCTAGAGTTCTTAAAGAACTCTAATATGAAATTGCTGACCTTCTTGCCAAAATATTGACTATGGCCCTAAAATCACCCTTTCTCCAGAGGATTGGAGAATGGCCAGGGTAACACCAATTTTTTAGCAAAAGAATTCAAGAAGGATCTGGCGCATTACCGGGCAGTTAACTTGAACTTTGTTCTGGGTAAATTGCTTAAAAGCATTATTAAAGATAGAATCAGTAAGCCAAAGGCCTGCTGAAAAATAATCAACATAGCTTCCACAAGGAGAAGTAGTGTTTCACTAACCTGTTATAGTTCTTTGGGAGTGTCAGTAAATAGGTGGACAAGGACAAATTGGTAGACATTGGTTGCTTGGTTTTCCAAAAGGCTTTTGACAAAGTCCCTTAGCAAAGGTTCCTGAGCAAACCTAGGAGTCATGGAATTGTGGAGGGGGGGGGGGGGGATCACTAACTGGTTAAAGGGTACAAAACAGAAAGTGGGAATACATTGCAAATTCTCTCAATAGAAGGATGTATCCAGTGGGGTCCCACAAGTTTCTTTAACAGGACCAGTATTTTCAGCCTATTCATACATGATCTGGAATTAGGAGTAAGTAGTAGTGAAGTGGCCAAGTTTGCTGATGACACCCATCTATTTAGGATGATTCAAACCAAAAGGAATTGTGAGGTGCTCCAAAGGGGTCTCTTGAAACTGGGAGAATGGGCATCAACATGGCAAGTGCAATTCAGCACAAGCAAGTAAAGGCAAAATATTCCAGCTTCAAGGATAGGTTGATGGGATCTGAGCTAGCAGTGATTGATCAAGAAAGAGATCTTGCAGGAGGGACATGGACAACTCAATGAAATGTCAGTTCATTGTGCAGCTGCTGTGAATAAGGCAAACTCCATGTTAGGCATAATTAGGAAGGGAATAGAAAATGGAACTGCCAAGAGTGTACTCACCTTTTATAAATTTTTGGTGCAGCTACACTTAGAATACACTTAGAATGTTCAGCTCTGATCACCTTACCTGAAAAAGGGCATTATTGAGTTGGAAAGGTACAGAGAAAGGCAACTAAAATGATCAATGGACTATTTAGCTTAGAAAAAAGAGTAAGGGGAGACATGATAGAGGTGTTGATAGTTATGCATGGTGTAGAGAAAGTGGAGGAGGAGACATTTTTCTCCTTCTCCCATAATATTAGAACCTGGAGACATCCCAAAACCTGGGAGCTTTAGGACAGATTAAAGAAAGTACTTTTTCATACAACAGATGGTTAAACTACAGCATTCATTGCCATGGGAAATTGTAATGTCCACCAATTTGGATGGCTTTAAAAGACATTGGACAGATTCGTGGATGCTGCCATTGCTGGCTATGTGCTACCTCCATTACCAGAGGTGGCACGCCTACATATACCAGTTGCTGAGGAGCTTGGGCAGGCCATCCCATTTGAGGGATCCTGTGAACAGCTGATTTTCCAGCATGCCACAGAGTGCTGGAATTCGGTGTGATCCAGCATGGCTTTTCTTATGTTCCTGTGTTCTTACTCATGGCCAGGGCTGTTAGGGCCCTGCCCCTTTGTGCTTTCACAGTGGAGAGTCTCTTCTGCAAGCTTTTTCTAATTCCTCTCCTCCCAGAGTTTGATCATCATCACCATTTAGATATGGCTTCTGTAAACAAAGACATTCTTTGTCCCCAACCCATTCTGTAAGGGTCTTCAGCTACAACATTCTCCTTCCCACAGTTGTTCTACAATCAACTACAGCAGTCTATATTTTTCACTGTAAGATCAAAATACCCACTTTTCTGCAATGCATATGTTTTATCATTCTTGATTTTTATATATTCTAGTTAAGTTTAGTTTTTATTTTACCATCATAGACCGGGAAGATTAAAGAAATATTCTGTTTAATACAGTTACTTGCATGCATTGCTTTGGATCTTTCATTGTTCCTATGGGAGGTGAGATATGGATGTGGAAAGCAGGCAGCAGCATAGTAATTAAAGGCTGTAGTCGCACATACTAAGCCACGGCAGGAATGGCTTGTCACCAGAAGCATGGTGAAACATGGCACATTCAGTTGCTGTGAACCATCAAGAGAACTAATAGTTCATTGTAAGATCTGCACGTTGGTTCTTGTCCTGTATGAAGCTAGTTACACTGTTTCTCCATGGTTTCCCCATTCTGGCCAGCCAGCTTGGCAGCAAGAGCAGCTTCTGCTGCTCCCGCTGCCCTTTTCCACTGCCCTGTTTGCCTGGCAATGGCTGAGTTTCCAATGGGCAAGGTGGTGTTTGGCTGCTCCCCTGCTCCTTGTCCTCCCTGCTGGTGAGCACTCCCTGGTACCTGGCTGCCCTGCCACAGCCATGCCCACTACCGGGCCAATTGCCCACCTCACATGCCGCCTTGCCAGTTGCCGTCTAACCATCTCCTGGCCATGTCGCCCACCTCACATGCTGCCTGGCCAATTGCAGAGAGGTTTCTCTTGCAAGTGCCTGCCCTTCCTGTGAGCTCTCATGCGTTGTCCCTAGGTCCCTGCCCTTTGCATAAACTCTCAAGCAGTGCATGGGACAGGCAACTTGGTCAGGAGGTGGGTGGGAGGGCGATCAGGAGGGCAGCATGAGAAATGGGTGCTTGGCCAGATGGCGGGCATGGCTGCAGTGGTGCAGCTGGGCGTCAGGGAGTGCACGCCAGGAAGGAGGACAGGGGACAGCAACAGTGGAGCCACCGTGTACTCTAATGGGCATTGCAGAGTCATCCTGTACTCTAGGAAGTAGACAGGGGCTCTGTGGGTCCACCATGTATTTTAATGAGTACAGAGGGGCTCCACAGAGCAGGAGACGGGGAAGTGGTGGCTGGCTGGGAACACACCCAGGAGAGAAGCCAGTGGGGCAGAAGCAGGTGACACGGGCAGGAGCAGTGTGCCCTGGGACTGGTTTCAGCTATAGGGTCTGATGGATTACGTGCTGCCACTGGGAGGGAAGATGGAGGCACACCAGGATGGCTTGTGAGTACTTAACTCAAGAAAGTGTGAACACAGGACACAAGGTAAGAAAGGTAACTGCACAGTAACCATTCATGTTACATGTGAACAGCGCTAGAGTGTTGAACTAGGACTGGGGAGTTCTAGGTTTTAGTCCCCACACTGCTCTGAAACTCTGAGTCACTTTGGGCCAGTCACAGCCTAGCCTCTACCTACCAGAGTCATTGTGAGGATAAAATAGCATGGAAGAGGATCCTGTATGTTGCCTGAGGGGAGAAAGGCAGGATGTAAATGTAACAAACACATCGCTATTGAAAATCATGTCTTATAATAAAAGTGTGATTAAGAACAAACTAAGGAACATGACACAGTGAGATGGGAGTGGGGGAAAGGAACTCCTAAATCAGTGGTTCTAATTGTTTAAGGTAAAATGGGGCATATTTATCTTTGCTTGCAGGGACAGAAAAACTCAGGAGCTTCCTTCCCCAAGCTTCTATCACTCCAGTGTAACCACACACACAACTGTTGTTATACTCAGGGTGATGAATCTGCAGCCCTTCTGCCCTTTATCGCTGCTGCAAGGTAAACAGAACATACCTAGCGGGTGGCCTTCCATGCAGGGCAGCTTGCCTGGACTGGCCTTGAACTCAGCAGAAATCAAACCAAAGGATCACTCCTTCCAGTCAGAAGGATACAGGAAAGAGAAGGTATCTGAAATTAATCTTTCAGGCAAAATAAAATGTTCAACTGATGCAGGAATCAACGCTCTGATTACTTTTGTTAACTATAAATCATGCTGTGAGCAGATTTTGTCTGAGGGTGAGAGGACAGTTTGGGATCTTGAGTTGTCGTGCTGCAGTCAAAACAAGGTTGCTACTGCATTTCCCAGGCTGACTCTGAAGTGGCGCATGTCAGTCTTGGTTAGGGCCACGGGACAGGCTCCGTCAGTTTTGTGCCTGTGCAGAGACATTCTGGCTGCATAAAATACCACTCAGGAATGGACAGAAGCAATAAGTATTCCATCCACAAAATGACACTGACAAGGCTGCAATCCCACTGAAGGGATAAATTAAATATGTAAAATCATAAAATACGATTTAAGGGATAAAGTACTCTGGTGCTGCTTGATCTTGGCATATAAAGATGAAGGCAAGGTTCAGCACCTAACAAGAAACGCCTCAGCTTAGGGAGCTGCCTTGTCCTGAGCCAGACCATTGAGCCATCTAGTCCTGCACCATCAACACTGGCTGGCAGCAGCTCTCCCTGGTTTCAGGAAGCTGCTTTTCCTCCCACACCTGGAGATGCCAGGGGCTGAACCTGAGGCCCACTGTATGCGAGACAGGTATGATGCCACTGAGCCACAGATGCTCCACAGCCCATCGGTTGCCACAGCAAGCTTAGGCACAACTCATCTGGGGCACGTTGGATCAAGATGGATCCACACAGTGCTGCGCTGCTGCTCTGTCATGTGGGGGTGCGGAACTCAGACTGGAGGGGATGTTCCCGCCTGGCACCCAGCAGGAACGTG